TCCGTAAGTCCAATATTAGCCCATATGTCTAATGCCAGTCTATAAGTTTCTCTTCAGACTCACACAACACATGCAATGACGCCGAATGCAGAAAGATCACAGGCCAGTGGGTGTAAAGTCTTGTGGATCCAGTGGTGGTGGAAGCATCTCAGCACTGGTGTGGGTCTCCACAGGGCTCCTCCAGCTCCAGGGCTCTAGCTCCATCAGCAAACTCCATGTGGCTTGTCAACAGGATTGTGAAGCAGAGTGTAGGTTGGCTACCAGTGAGCTATTTATCTCCTTCAAGCCTCCACAAGAGGTCATCAAGCTGGAACCTAATTGACAGGTTAAACTCCACCTCTTCACTCTTAATAGTCTCAAATTGACACAGATTACATAACTACCATAGATGTGATTTAGCAATTATGTAATCACCCATCATGGTATGAGCTAATGTAATTATTATTTGTAATGGGTTATTAATCTGGTTTGTGTGTGTGAATGAGGCATGATTTGATTATGCTAATGAAGCTTAGGTTATGTTTGGTAGGTTAAACAGGCAGGATTAGGATGGGGCACCACGCCCTCATTTGAGTCACATCCAGTAAAAGAAGTTTCTCTGGCTGTGGGCTGGATCACCTTTTATCTTACAAGCAATAAAAAGATAGGAAAAAGCTAAGAGAGAGGGACCCCAGTACCACCAATGAAAGAGCCCCGATTGGAGCACCTCCTTCGAACCTGGGGTCCCTGCTCTGAGACCCAGGGGAAGACAGACACCAAGACGAGGACTGTCGGGCTGCAGACGTTGAAAGGAAACAAGGACCTTCCCCAGGAAGAAAGCCTTTTCCTGGAGCAGCAGTTCACCTTCCTCCTGCCTCGGCCCTTTCATGCAGTTCCTCATGTGGTGGTGACCCCCCAACCATCGCATCATTTTCGTTGCTACTTCATCCCTGTCATTTTGCTACTGTGATGAATCGGGCAACCCCTGTGAGAGGGTCGTTTGACCCCCCAAAGGGGTCGTGACCCATAGGTTGAGAACCGCTGTCGTAGAGTGACTCCCTAAACTTGTGTCCTGATGCATTTGTTTGTTAAAACAGTCCATTTATGGTATTTCTGTCATAGCAGCACTAGGTAACTAACGCAGTGTGTATGTGACGAATGGTAACTGTCAATAATGTTCCCCAGCATAATCCCCAAGTTACAAGGGCGTCACTGCCCTGTCCTGCTGGAGTGTTGAATACATCTACACTTGTAACCTGTAGAAAGGAATGGAGCAAACAAGCCAGACTCAGAGGAAGAAAGTATGGAAATCAAGTGGACTTGAAGGTTAAGGACCATCATCTTGGGGGACATCTAGGTCAATTGGCAAAACGTTCATAAAGGAAGTTTTCTGTGCCCTAGTATGATGAGTAAGAGGAGCCTTGATTATATAGTAGTGACATGATGGGCTCCTAACAGTAAGAGCCACGGTTCAAAACAGTTAGCCTGTCTGCTGGAGAAAGATGGGGCTTCCTACTCCTGTCAGGAGCTGGTCTTGGAAACCTGCAGGGGCAGTATCAACTCCATGGTGATGAGTTTGTTTCATGATTTGTTTGTTTCTTTGTTTAGTCTGATGAGTAGCATCCAGAGTCTTAAAAGTTGTGAGTGACCTTAAGAAGCAACTGTTGGTCTGTTCTCTCCTGTGCAAAGAAGAATAAAGAAAACTGAAGAGGCAGAAGTAATGAGTCCCCAGGTCCAATGGCCCACAAGAGCCATGCCATCGAGGCCATGCCGACTCATAGTGACCTTCTAGGGCAGGATAGAACTGCCCCTGCACGTTTCTGAATTTCAGGAATTAGAAAGCCCCATCTTCCTCCTGCTAAGCAGCTGGTGGTTTTGAACACGCCTGCCTTATGGATGGGCAGCAGACAACACATAACCACTACCACCAAAGCTCCTGCAAACACCATAGCCTCTTCTAACCGGAAACAGAACTTAAGGGTGCCCAACGACCACTGTCGTCCACGCTGACCAGGATCGCAGTAGTAGGTCCCAGTTAGAATGGATTAAAAATGTAGAACAAAATTCAAATTAAAAATTGCAGAACGGACCAGCCTTACTAACCTGAAAGAACGTGGAGGACCCTCCCCCGAGAAGAATTTATTTCAAAGGATGGCACTGAATCTGCAGCTTCGGGAGAAGGATATATCTGACCAGAGCACACAGG